CTGATGCTTAATTATGCAGTAAGCAAGGCCACACACACACACACACACACACACACACATAGCCCTGCTTACTCCCACACACATCCTCTCATGTTTGCCCTCCAGACGATACACACTTAATGAAGCAGATGAAGAGTGTTTGAGCTGAATAGAGAGCGAGAGGTAATGAGAGAGTTGCTGCAGTGATAAAACAAACGTCCTTCTCTGCTAATCTAGGAAGACTGGACAAGTGCCATTGTTATGGTGGAGATGTTTCTTAAATAGCATTTTACATCATAATGCATATGCAACCCACTTCTTAAAAGACAAACTGAAAGCGACACCACACACACACACACACACACACACACACATAGCCCTGCTTACTCCCACACACATCCTCTCATGTTTGCCCTCCAGACGATACACACTTAATGAAGCAGATGAAGAGTGTTTGAGCTGAATAGAGAGCGAGAGGTAATGAGAGAGTTGCTGCAGTGATAAAACAAACGTCCTTCTCTGCTAATCTAGGAAGACTGGACAAGTGCCATTGTTATGGTGGAGATGTTTCTTAAATAGCATTTTACATCATAATGCATATGCAACCCACTTCTTAAAAGACAAACTCCTGATTTAGGCTCGGTGACAGTCTTATCATATTAAAATGCAACAGAGAAAAAGAGATGAAATAGCATTACTGATTTCATATCAGTAAACATTCGGTTCTGCCCCTTCCAGTCTGTGTCCTTCATTAGCAAATATAGAAACAAACTGATTTAGATTATTTATATATATTTTGCTTAAAGTCGGGGCTAATGGAATTTTTTTTTTTTGTAAATAAAAATAGGTTTTCACTTGTGGAGCAAATATTTTCATTTTTATGTACATTTTACCCTTACATTTTTCGCTTTGAAGTGACATTCATTCATTCATTTAATTTTCATCATCAATGTGACTGACTGTATGTTTCCTTCGTGCAGATGAGTGTTGAGGCAGGTTTAGGAAGGCATTCACAGACTATCTAAATAAGAAACCATTTAAAACAAGAAACCATAAATAAAATGAAAATCGACAATGTCTGGAAGAATATGAATTTTGACATGACACTGGATGCAGAGAGACATGGTGGATTGTTTTAGATTAGAAAATGCTGCCATCATGGGGTGACATTTGGCATTACTGTTACATAACCACTCAAAACCGCTTCACCCACACCTTCACCAACTGCACATTCTGCCTTCTGTTGTAATATTTAAACATATTGTGTAATGCCTGCTTTGCAGTTATTCTTAATTTAATTTCAAAATATGCACACCAAAATCACAATGGTATAATGTGACCCCGGACCACAAACCAGTCATACTCATAAGGGTCAATATTTCGAAATTGAGATTTATACACCATCTGAAATCGGAATAAATAAGCTTTCCATTGATGTATGGTTTGTTAGGATAGGACAATATTTGGTCGAGATACAACTATTTGAAAATCTGG